AGGCGTTTGTACGATACACACAGCACAAGGAGATACAAATGGAGCACGAGTTAATTAACTGAATACGAGAAGCTGCTTGTTTGGAGTTAACCATTCAAATGTTTGGTGTTGTAGGGTTTACTTGATGATAATGATAAACACCCATCCATATTCGAGTTTATGAGAACAGGTTGACATTTCGTCAACAAATCTTCTTGAATTTACTGTTTATCCTTGTCTATCTTATTGTCAGTCTGTATAATTCCATGGTTACCGGTTAATCAGGCAGATTACCTTGAAAAACATTGCTGCCGTATTTCTGATACAGTTTTTTGCAAATTTCTCAGTTTTTAGTAACAATTAATTTATTTTATTATTTTTTCTGTACTCCTATAACAGCGCCAGACAACACCTCCAGAGAAATGACGCCAATTTTGAATCACCCTGTAGTTGCAGCATCCAATCATAAGGGCTTGTTGGCACAACTTTGGTATGAAACATCTTTAATGGGTTTGTTGTGCCGAGCCCCTCGGGCACGACACTGACTAGATGACAAAAAGTGAAGAATCGCTAAATTTTGAGTGCTGTTTACTTCAAAACCCAAGCATTGAAGAATGTTTAATGTCAAACTGAATGGAAAAAAAGCGAATAGTCGCTAATTTTTAAGTGTTTTTCACGCCAAAACCAGTGTCGTGCCCGAAGGTCCTCGGCTGAACTTTCATGCGTTTGCTTAAACTCGGCTGGCTGTCCACACTGTGTATTACCTACATTTCGGCAAAGGTGTAATGAGGAGGACACCGGAAGCCCCAATTAGTTAATGGGCAAAATGAAGAGAGGAAAAAAAACGGCCACCGTTACGTTTTGAAAACGCCTCATTATTCACGCAAAATTGCCTCTTTGTTCGTTACTTCCGATGACCGCCGTTTCTAAATAGTGTTTGATTGTCATGTTTACCCGCGTCCAATTAATTGTTTTCTCTTTTTCGTCGGATCGTTGCCATCCAAGGCATTTTTCCCTCATATCTAATTGGACAAAACCACAAAACCAATGCAAAATGCAACGATTTAAAAGAACTCTTCGGACTTCGGTATTGAGCTCAAGTTTGGCTCAATTTTCCGCCTCAAACACCAAAATCACTACCTCTCAGAATAAATGAAAAATGAACATTGCGTGTCCAATGATCGGTTTGTGACTTAATTGAACGAAATGTGTGCGGGGTTTTCAATCAAATGCCCCCCGTAGTAATGGGGGTGGCTGGATTTCTCCCGTATAACTATCAGCGGTTGCTCTGAGGTAATTAAGGAACACTTTGGTGAGCCCCACCGCTCCAAAGCGGGTTATAAACGCTCTTCGAGGTAATTAACTGAAAAGGGTGACAGTAATTAATGAATTTCTGCGACTATAAAGCGATATTGTGTGTTTTCGGCTGAGTGCTGCCTGGCAGCTCGCAGCCTTTAATATGCAATTTATTAATTGCTGCAAATTTTTACGGGGCACGCCACTGCGGGCCACGTTGCCAACACTACACCCTAAAATAGCAATTGCTCCACGATGCCTTAGCACTAACAAAGTAAATGACTAAACCGATAAATTAGCCGGCGATCTGATTTTCCATAACCGCTTTAAAGCCGGCGCAAAAAGCGCTTAATTGGCAGTAAGCTTAATAAGGGCAATAATGGGAGCGGTAACACAAAAATAATGACGCACTGTTGCCAATTGATGCTTTCCTTAGAAATCAAGAGATGTTGTCGCCAGCTGCAATAGAAATCAGCCTTTACTGCCATCAGTAAAAAAATCATATCTCAAAAACTGTTCAAAATATCGCGTTCCTTGTAAGAATATTTTCGAAAGAGCATTTTCTTCTTTAAATGTGGCAAAATTATACAAATATCAAAGTGGGGCTTCACCCCTTTCAGGCACTTGAAAGTTAAAAGCCGCCATATGTTTCAAACGGTCAAAGTGTCTGAATAGTCATGAGGACCGTGTGGAAAAAGCGTCTCCAGAACTGTCTTCTGCGCAAAATATCAACGTTTGCTTTTCAGCCCGAAGCTGCAGATTCCAATCATCACACGAACCTAAGTGTCCATTCAGGAGCGCAACTGGCATCGGTTTTCTCACTCGCACCCATAGCAGTGCATGAGATCGGCTAGAGGCCGGTGCGTTGCTACGTTCGAAATGGATACCTTAACGGCTAAAACTTCAGAATTGGAACAAAGTCAAAACTCAGAATGTCAACCAAGTTATCGACACGACTTTTATACAGGGTGATTCAAAATTGGCGTCATTCCTTTTAAGGGGTGATAGAGGCTCTCTTGCGGAGTACCAGACAAATATTAGAAATTTTTTTTTTCTAAATTTCTAGAAGATATTAACAGTTGAAGATGGTCAGTTTCGTGCGATGATTCGAATTAGAATGGGAGCACCCAAAACAATCACATATCTGAAGATGCCAGCAATGCGTGCTACAGAAACGTCAGGACGGCCTAATACCCATAAAAAAAAATGTTTGATTGAGCCCGACCCTGCCTGGTGCAGTGGAACTGAAGCAGTAGCGGCCCCCTAATCGAGTATCCCGTCGCGGATCTAATCAACGCCGCTCTTTTAATTAAACATCCCCATTCACATTCGATTAATATAAATTACATTGTTGAGCTGGCTGGTCGGACGAACAGGTGCACACACCTGACAACAATACATCATTCTCGCACGGCTCGAAATTGTCGCTCACAGTCGGTCCCGATTTTCCGCTCAAATGCCGCTCAATCCCTACAAAGTCCATTTCCATATCAATACTGTTGCGCGCTCTTGGTACTGCCGTAACCCAATCGGACGTTGTTGATGTCCTGTTTAATTAGTTGCGTTCGAAAGGGAAATCGGATCTTCTGTTACCGATTCCGACCGCAAATTGGAAGGAAAAACCATTATTAGGAGAGACGACGGCAGGATGTGCCCGGTCCGGTTAATGCCACTCAAACAGTTTCCCCCCGGTCAACTTAACACACTCAGGTGCTCGGTTGGACGGTTGACAAACTGTCCCCAAACCCGGTTATGGGAGATAATTCGTTGCGAATTCCCATATCTCATATCATTGGGGCCCGCTCAATCGGATGCCAATATTGGCGAAACCGCAGCCGGCTTGAATATGCCTGGTGTCGTATCGAGTGACCGCTGGATAATGTGACGAAGTCACGCTATCGCACTAAATCCTGTGGGC